TAACTTACCCACCGCCCCACTAAAAACGTACCAGCCGTCTAACTTACCCACCGCCCCACTAAAAACGGACCAGCCGTCTAACTTACCCACCGCCCCACTAAAATACGGACCAGCCGTCTAACTTACCCACCGCCCCACTAAAAAACGGACCAGCCGTCTAACTTACCCACCGCCCCACTAAAATACGGACCAGCCGTCTAACTTACCCACCGCCCCACTAAAATACGGACCAGCCGTCTAACTTACCCACCGCCCCAGGGGCGTGCGCTTTCTCCTGGGTGCCCCACTAAAAAACAAATCCACAAACCTGCTCATTTGTCCGAGGTCGACAGCGTTACCGTGACTGAACAGTATCGTAAACAAAGGGTTCTTTACTGGTCGTACCATCATGCACGCAACCTGGTGTTTTTCAGTAATTTTGGAGTGATCTCACTGTGTCGACAATACAAATTCTTCAGAATTATGATCTAACAAAAACGACCAATGCAATAGCCATGACCAATGACCATCGTGTGTAGCAATATTATATGTAGCAAGACATCGCCAAATATATGATACATTATTCAAGTAAACGAAAAAGTGAAATGGAGTAGAAGTAAAGTAAAACTGAATTGGAGTAGAATGTGAAATGACGTTAACATGGTTACAAGCTGTACCTTGTTTCCTCTGGAGCTGCGAGTAGTGAAGCAGTCGATAAAGCTGAGTTCTCTGTCGTTGAACTGCCACTCTGCCCGCTCAGTGAGAACCAACTCTTGTGTCCCATCCTCCTGTGAAGATAAGATGTTATGTTGGGTTCAGAGTCAGCATTTATCAATTTATCAAATATTAACTTAACCTTTTTCAACTTCGACTAGGAACTAAAAAATAAAAATACAATTAATATTTGCAGCCAAGAAGTTGTAAAGACATTACCTTTGTGACAATAGTGTAGCTAGTAACCTAGTAACCAGAAGCTAGTAACCTAGTAACCAGTAGCTAGTCAAGACATTACCTTTGTGACAATAGTGTAGCTAGTAACCTAGTAACCAGAAGCTAGTAACCTAGTAACCAGTAGCTAGTAACCTAGTAACCAGTAGCTAGTAAAGACATTACCTTTGTGACAATAGTGTAGCTAGGTTCAGGAGGGACAAATGCAAGTTTAGCTGCTATTCTAGACGGTATGGGAGGACAACACAACAAGCAGCAGATGTCTGCGAGGCTGAACCCGTTCATACCACTCATAAATTCATACTTCCAACTTGCGACATAAAATCTAGAATAGAGAGTAGATGTTAAAGTTATATAAAAAACTATAGAAAGTGCTGTAAAGAATGCTGCAATTAAAATGGTCAGGGAATTCGCAGTTGTCTTTGCAGTAATTATCAATTTCGACGAATGATTTACTACAGGTGACTCAAATCGAAGTGAATCAAATGACATTGTCCATATTCTACCCTGCAAAATGTGTGAGGCATAACTCTTTAAAAGATACCGGGAAAAACCTAATGAAAGAAGCAGGGTGCTCAGATGTTTAGATAGAACACCCCTTATTCCTTGTCAATCCAAATGACTTCCGTGTTAGAACCAATATAACAGATATATAGTAATAAATTAATGTTATTTTTATACAGCACCCAAAGGTTAAATAATTTAAATTTAACCCTTATGCTCAGCTGTAAATGATACTTAAATTAACGAGAGTGTGCATCTTTGCCTTAGACAGAGGTGAAACAAGAAACTGTTCAGAAAACAGGCGTTAATAACTGTAAATAATATCGTGACTAAATAAGGCAGATGCACCTAACAAGTAGGGTTAGCAGGTTTTCTAACAGAGGACTTGAGGAAAGGATGATGACTGCAAGAAATCACAGTATGAAACTCATCAGCCTATCAAATATAAAAATCAGGATAATAAAAATGAAATTCCCTAAAATATTAAAAATTCTATAAAAATTCTATAGAAATTCTTTTGACTCCAAATATACAAACAATCTGAATACTCCAATACACAATAAAAATTGATTGAAAAAGTTTACTGCAGAACAGTAACTGACGATAAAAATTATATCTGAAAATCCAATGTACAAGAAGAAAACAACAATTTCAAGAAAACAACATACAGTCATACCAAACAATCTCGGCAACATAATAGTAGAGACGGTGAAATAAAGAGTGGAAAAAAGATGCTCTAGTGATGAGGCATAACTCTTTGAAAGATACCAGGAAAAACTTAACGAAAGAAGCAGTTTCCAAGACCCAATCTTGATAAAGGTCTCCTTTATTAGAATTTTGTTTTTTTAGTAAAACAAAATGCAGCATATGGATGAGACAACCTTACATTAAACATGTTGTGCTCAAATACTGACTGAAGTGCACAAGCAATTATTTAAAGTGTACCACCATATATACCTGAGTGCTGCTTTCGACACTGTAAAATTGTATACAATATAAAATAGTACAGTAAAATATCTACAAAATTTACATGCAAATCTAGGAGACCTCAAAGCTCGTCTTCTGGGGGATGAGGTTGTAGGAAACGTCTTGCAGTTCAAGATGCTGGGCTGTTGATCTTCCTCTGATTCCCCTCAGTGCAATGAGTGTACTTCTTAACAGATCAAATCTGAATCGTGTTCTGATATGATTTTTGACTTGGCTCTTGGCTTCTTTTTTGTGGTCAGCTATCATCTCAGAGACACGATCTACAAACACACTGCAGAGCGGTCCCATACCTCCGGAGGTTGTGAAGACTAGAGGGACAAATGATCCTTTCTCTGACTGAAGTACTCTCTCTTCATACAAATCTTTCTTTTCTTTCTCGTGATCTCTATAGATTTTATCTAGTGTATTTGGGTCACAGATAGGATGTGTGACCCTGATGTCAAAGACACTTTTGATCATAGCAAATTATAAAAAATTATTCAAACAATAACTGGCGGGATTATAGCCTCAGTAAACCACTGCCATGGACTGTATGATGCCTGGGCGAAAGTCAGGAAAGTTAAGTGTAAACAAGGCGAAACTGACACAAAAGGGGGCACATGCCTGTGTTCTATCTGCTGTAATAAAAGAAACCGTTATGATGACTACAAAGAATATAGAAAGGCTCTAAAAAAGGTTCGTAAAAAGGCTGTATCTGAATATTATTCTGACAAGTTTCTTGAAACTCAGGGAAACTCCAAGAAAACCTGGGAACTTATAAATAAAATTCGTGGCAAACAGAAACGTGATATCAGACCTATATTTACCATAGACAATGAAAAGATAACTAATCGCAGAGTTATAGCGAATGAATTCAATAAGTATTTTGTATCCCTAGCATCTAACCTTAATGCAGCCTACACAGAACTAGGAGAGATACAAATAAATCAGCTTCCAAGTTTCTGTGACCTCTTACCTAAATCGAATACAGCTAATATATATCTACATGACTGCTCACCTGAAGAGGTGGCTAAGATCATATCGGAACTTCAGAATGGCAAGGCTAGTGATATACCAGTACATATAGTAAAGGCAGTATCAGGCATAATTAGCCCACTACTATCGGTTTTGTATAACGAATGTATGCAACAGGGAGTTTTTCCAGACGACCTAAAAGTAGGTAAAATAAGTCCAATATATAAGAAAGAAAATGCTGAGCTTCTTGAAAATTACAGGCCTATCTCAACCTTAGCGATATTTGGTAAAATACTTGAGAAAATCATATTCTCCAGGCTTTACAGTTTCTTTCAGTCACAAGGATTATTATATGAAAATCAATATGGCTTCAGAAAAAATCATTCGACAAGCCATGCACTTAACTTCTCTGTCGACTACATTGAAAAATCACTAAGAGATAAAAATCATGTACTAGGCATCTTCATTGATTTAAGTAAAGCTTTTGATACAATCTGTCATGATAAACTGCTTAAAAAACTGAATGATTATGGAATTCGAGGGACTGCAAATAAATTAATAGCCAGTTATCTCTCTAATAGACAGCAATATGTTTCAGTACTTGGAGAAGAATCCGAAAAACTGTCTGTTATATTTGGTGTGCCTCAGGGGTCAGTATTAGGTCCCTTGCTTTTCATTATCTACATCAATGAAATATATAGAGTATCAGACCTAGGCAAGTTTATACTTTTTGCCGATGACACCAACATATTTGTTGTAGATAAATGTATAAAAACACTTTACTGCAAAGCTAACAAAATTCTTAAACTTGTTCATCAGTATATGAAGAGTAACTTGCTGCATATCAACACAAAGAAATGTTGTTATATCCACTTTAAACCGAACTGTAGAAATGAACCAGATTCAAACACCAATGAATTAGAACTGACACTGAATAATATAATAATTAAAAAGGTAGAGGAAACTAAGTTTCTTGGAGTCATTATTGACCAAAAACTGAACTGGGATGCTCACTTAAGAGCGTTAAATCGTAAATTGAAATGTGAGATTGGTAGACTATGTGGAATTAGACGCTGTGTACCTAAAAAACTATATAAGGACCTGTACCACACCCTTTTTGAATCACACCTATGTTATGGAATATCTGTTTGGGGAGGTGTATCAAATAATAAACTAGAAGCCATATTTAAAACACAAAAGAAATGCATAAGAATTCTCTTTGGTGATAATGATGCGTACTTCAATAAGTTCAAAACATGTGCCAGAGTAAGGCCTATCACTAGGGATAAGACCGGTAAAGTTATCAAGCAGATGTTAGGCAAAGATTTCTTTGAACTAGAACACAGTAAACCAATCTGTAACGAGTATAACTTCCTGACTGTCCACAATCTTCATAAGTTGCACTGTTTACTGGAAATGTTTAAAATTAATAAGTTCCAATCACCAGTCTCAATGTTCTCTTTATTCAACAGGTCACCAAGACGAGACAACTACTTCATCCCACCCACTCCATCCTCACTATTCATCTACCAATCAACCAGTATTTGGAATCACTGCCGTAAGTCAACGAGTGAAATAGACTTCTCCACTCCTATCAGTATATTCAAGAATAATATTAAGAAAGCTTTGTTAGAACTACAATCTAAATATGACAGACAACTATGGTGCAGTTACAACTTTGATGCAAATGAATTATCATTGAAATAGGTTAATTAAGTAAACTTAATCATATGAGTAAACCACGGTGTTATTGCAAAGAACCATGACAAGGGTATCAGACCTATATTAATCTAAGAGACGAAACAAAACGAATCATCATACAACAAATTTTAAAATCCTGCGGCACAGGATCCTGTTGTTGTTTTCCTACTCTGCCTCTCCCAAACCCCTCTCTCCTTCTCCTTTCTTCAGGTTTATTCTTCAATTTTCTAAATTAGATAGCAGATATATTTTCTTTCGAACGCGAATGTAGTAATGGCATTATACATTATTTGGTATCCTATGTATGTTGTGTTTAGTGTTTGCTAACTAGGTATGTGCTATATATTTTGGAGAATTTTGAGACTCACGACGTCTCGTCCCATGGGTTGAGTTGTAAGCTGAGTATATGTTCAAATCGCCTTACTTCGTATGGTGAAACATCGACAGGTATGCCTTAGCCTTTGGGACGAGTGTTTGCCCACCGGGGATCCAAAAATTTGATCACCATGAACATTACTTTGACACGTGAACTTATCAAACGACTGTAATGATTCCATTAAATTTTCTTAGTACATTTAGCTAGTTTATTGTAGATACACACGATCACAGAATAGAAGAGCACAATTGGGCTCTTTGTTCTGCGGCCGAGTTTCCTCGGTGGGCCGACAGGTTTTTGTTGTGTAGTAGTGCTGGGGAAAAACACGCTTTAAATATCAATGAATGTAAATATTGTTAATTGACATTAGTGCCACAGTTTCTGTGGTAAAAACAAATTTATGGTTAAACATTATATATCGTAGAAGGGCATGATTTACGCACATCACCAAGCATCTGGATGGATAATTAACACACAAGGATAAACTGACCTTTAAACATGACCACCAGCAATATCATATAATCATAGCTCCGAAATAAATAAATTGCTCTACATAGAAACATCTGGCCTGATCTTATCACATTGTGGTCCCCAGGGGTTCGGTAAAGCCCTTACAGGCAACTGGGTCCTTTTACCAGCCACAATTAAACTAGTCATGCCAGTACTGTCATAAACTGTAACCAACTATTTAAAAATAAGATATCTTTTGCTAGAATTTTAAATTGTAAGCCATAGAGCAATCTTCTCAATTTTAAAATTTAAATATAACATTTTACCCTAACTATGATGTGGTGGCATTTCAT